AAAAAAAAAAAAAAAGACGAATGAATACAGAAGCACTTCAAAGAGGGTATAGAGCAGTGGTGCTCAGCAGTGGCTGTACTGTGAAGAGTTACCTGGGAAACTTTAACAAATACTGATGTCAGTGCATCCAGAGATTCTTCTTTTATTGGTCTGTGGTCTCAATAAAGGTCTCCATTACTTATTTCTCATTGCAATTGATGTGGAGACCTTTTCCCTATAGTTTTTACCCCAGCTTTCTCAGGTGATAAATGAGGATGACATTGTACCTTTTTTTAAATGTTTATTTATTTATTTTGAAAGACAGAGAGAGACAGTGCATGCACATGGGTTCCCATGAGCAGGGCAGGCACACAGAGAGAGGGAGAGAGGGAATCTCAAGCAGGCTCCACACTGTCAGCACAGAGCTCTACACGAGGCTTCAACTCACAAACCATGAGAGCATGACCTGAGCTGAAGTCGGACGCTTAACCCACTGAGCCACCTAGGCACCCTATCAGCTTCCCTTGTTTTGATGACCTTGACAGTTTTGAGGATTATTAGTTATTTTATAGAATGTCCCTCAGTCAGGATTTGCCTGATGTTTTTGTCACCGTTAGACTGCGGCTATGCATTTGGGGGAAGAAGACCATAAAGGTAAAGTAACATTCTCATCGTATCACATCTGTAGTATGTACTCTCAATATGACTTACCACTATTGATGTTAACCTTGATGACCTTGTGTTTGTCAGATTTTGCCACTGTAAAGTCCCTCGTCTTTTTTCTCCCTTGCCATACTATACACTCCTTCCCATACTCTACTCTTTGAAAGAAAGTCACTATGCACAGTATACACTTAAGGACAAAGTTGGCTTTTCTAGGCCTTTTGTCTTTCAATATAAACTTTAGTATCAAGTTGTCACTGTCTACAAAATAGCTTGCTGGGATGTTGGTTGGGATTGCACTGAACCTATAGATCACCTTGAGAAGAACTGATATCTTAACAATGTTGAGTCCTTCAATCTACAAGCACCGAAGATCTTTCTACTTATTTAGAACTTTGATTTTTTTCATCTGTTTTATAGTTTCTGCATATAAGTCTTACACATATTTTATTAGATTCATGACTAAGTATTTAATTTTGTGGGTCCAATTGTAAATAGTATTTTTTTTGTAAATTTAAATCCAATCACTCATTTCTGGCATATAGGAAAGTAATTGGCTTTGTATATTAACCTTATATCCTCCAACCCTGCTATACTTGCTTATTAGTTCCAGGTTGTTGTGGGTTTTTTTCTGTTTTTTTAATCCATTGGGATTTTCTACATAAACAGTGATGTCACCTATGGATAAAAATAGTTTTATTTCTTCATCCCAATCTGTATACTTTTATTTCCTTTCCTTTTTTTTTTGCTTTAATGCCACTTTATTTATTTTTGTTTATTTATTATGTTTTTATTTATATTCCAGTTAGTTAACATACAGTGTAATATTACTTTCAGGTAAACAATATAGTGATTCAACACGTCCATAAAACACCCATTGCTCATCACGACAAGTACACTCCTTAATCCCCATCACCTATTTAACCCATCACCCTACCCACCTTTTCTCTGGTAACCATCATTTGTTCTCTGTAGTTAAGAATCTGTTTCTTGGTTTACCTCTCTTTTTTTCCCCTTTGCTTGTTTGTTTTGTTTCTTAAATTCCACATACGAGTTAAATCATATGGCATTTGTCTTTCTCTGACTTCTTTGATTATGTCGTTATGACTTAGCATAATACTCTCTATCTCCATCCACATTGT